ACCACTTACTTATATTTTCAAACTATAGCAATTTGTTTGGATATGGATGATAGCCGGTTTTAGCTGACTGGGTTATTTTATCTCCAATCTTCTAACTCAAAATCAAACTCAACTCAATTCTTCTCAACATTATCAATATAACCAAATAATACTGTAAAAATGTGTTCGGATTGACATTAAATTGACAAACTCCAAAATAAACTTTGAACTTGCATGGCATACTGGACTAAGAGTAATCAAAAGGGAAGTGTACTATTTTTATTATATTATTCCTTGACATTAGATATTCCTAATTTATTTATTTGGTTGTAGAGAATTATGGAAATCTTAACCTGGGTGTTACCTTTATTCTCCTGAGGGGAGCCAACACCTAGGCATTCTCTCTGAGGGGAGCTTTTAGTTTTGTGTTTGTGTTTTAGTTGTGTTTTTCTCCCATTGGGAGCCAGTTTCTAGTTGTTCGTTGTTTGAGTTAGGTTTTATTCTGGCGTTGCCAGCGATTCTAGGCGGACTTCGGTCTAGCCTTCCAGTTTGTAATTCCGTACATTTGTGCGCCTTTTATATAATTCTTCTATCGTTTCGGCAAAAAAAAAAAAAATTATGCAAATCAAGGAAGGGTGGAGCAGCCGATCATAGAAGGAAGGAATCACCATGCAAGATAAATGTGGATACTTGAAAATCAACTTACCATAATTTAGCAGTTGCAAGACGTGCGAAGAACTTACCATGTTGGAGTTGACTTGCAATTGAGGAAACAACTAATTTTGAAGAAAACAAAAAAAAGGAGGTGACTTACCATTTTGGCAACGGTATATAACACACATTCTCTCAATTGTAAAGGCCTTCATTTTGCTGGAGAGATCACGTATTGATAGAAAGGATAGAGAGAGAGAGAGAGAGAGAGAGAGAGAGAGAGAGAGAGAGAGAGATGTGTGCTCTCATCGTGCTTTTGTAGTTTTATTTATTTTTTATTGAGAGAGAAGACAAGAAAATATTCTTGTTCTTCATGAGCATTATTTTTTATAAAATATTGAACAAGTGTTTGGGATGAACACTTAGAACAACACAAGAGATTTGTGTGAAAAAATTGACAAGGGATTTGTGGTCGGAAAACTAGTTGTATAGGTGATTACATGGTAGATTTAAAAGAGGGATTATTTTGGATAATTCCCAAGTGTAATAGGCCAAACGTCTATATGAATGAAAGAGTTCCAAGGGAGAGAGAGGTGCTCTCCTAAAGGTTCATATTGTGATGAACTAGGTTTCGCAATTATTTGAATGTACATCTATTTTTACACTTTAAGTGCAATCTGTTGACCCCCAAAATTTCATTTGACATCAGAGTGGGTTTTCGTACGTATATATGAAGATATTAAGGATCTGTTAACGGGCAACTATGAATCACGATGGTGGATCCATGTTTAGACCTCCGCAATTGGATTGCTCGAACTACTCATACTAAAAATCAATTATGATGATCTTCTTGCAATCTCTTGGCAAGGGTTCTTGGGAGAGTGTGGAGAATGGTTTGACTCTTCCAATCACGAATGAAGCACCAGACAGTGGAAGAGACACTACAATTGCAACCGTACTTAAACCAAGAGATTTGTGGTCAGATGCTGAAAAAAGGTAAGAAGAAGTGAATTTTTAAGCTCTATACTCAAATCTGGTGACAGTTGATCAGACACGGCATAAAATGATAGTTCAGTGCACATCTGCAAAAGATTTAATAGCAATTTTGGAGCGCCAATTCGCATGTTCCAAGGCAGTAAAATCTTTCAGGCTTCAGCGAGTGATCGTGGTCTTTGACGACATCAAAATGAAGGAGGAAGAAGACATTGATCTCTATTACTCCAAGTTTTGTGATTTGGTGAATCAAAGTGCAATGCTGAGAGAGGAGATTTCTAAGGCACGTCAAGTTTAAAAAATCATGAGAATGCTACCAGCCCACTTCAGAGAGAAGATTACGGCTCTTGAAAGCTTCCAGTGAGTTAAGTCACTTGATCTTGATGACCTCAGAATGTTTGAGATCAACAATAACTACGACAAAGTAAAAAACAAGGTTCTAGTCCTTAAAGCCGCAGTGGCGTCACAGGCTGAAGAAAGTGACAAGGATAAAAGTACACTGGAGGAAGATGTAGAGTTCAAGAAGGCATTTTGATTGCCATAATCTATGGCAAGATGCATCATAAACTAAACAAGAACAAGTCTACTAGAAAAAAGTTTAGTAACAGCAACAATGACTCATCTCAGGGGAAACAAAACCTCATTTTCTCCTCAAAATCAGATACTGAAAAGATTGAGAAAGATCAATGGCTGATAGTGCAAAGGCTATGGACACTTTCTAATGAATGTGCAAACCTAAAAAAGAAGACAAGTCACTGAAGGCGACTTGGGATGACTCAGATGAAGAAGAAGTTGATGAACCTGCATCATATTCAGTAACAAGACAGTTCATTCTAAAGACATGTATTTGTGCCTAACATCCACTCAGTCCCTCAAAATTTGAGGAAGTTATGAACTCTAATTATAATCTTGGTTATGAGTCTATTGGCTCTGATGATGATGCACATCAAAATATTTGTGTGGATCTGGTGCACCAATTAACCACGGATAAATGCTTATAAGCAGCCAAAATAATGAAGAAATCTTCAGAGTCAAGTCAAAAACTTATGGCTTAGGCTCATTCAAATGGGTCAACTGAAGAAGTTGATTATATGAAGAAAGAAGTCCAGAAGATTATGGAGATAAATGGGTCACTCAATTACAAATTGACATCTTCATTCACTGATCAAAAACAAGTTAAGTTGGATTTAGCCAAGGCCCGAAATGCTATTCTCGAAAATGGACTGTAAGTTTCCAAGCAGACAAGTGCTGAAAAAACTGAAGCAATTGAATCTTTAAGGAATGAGTTATTTGCCTTGCATAAAATGATAGGTGAAAAAGACAATGAAGTCACAACTCTAAAAAAGGAAGCCTCTCAAGTGATGAACGAACATACTAATCTAAGAGAAAGCCTTAAATGACCTGAAAAGAACATAAGAGCTAAATCAGCAAGGCTTGAAAGAACATTTAAGGTTGTTAGGAAATTGAACAAAGGGAGAGCAGACATGAACAAACTTCTCAGCAATGAGAAGTCCAATGGTGATGTAAACGGATTAGGTTATACTAGAAAGGCACAAGCTAGTGAAAGTACATCTAAAAAAATCATCTCAGCGTAAGCGTCCAGGACTGGGGTTCACCAGAAAGACAAATATTTGAGGTACCAGCTCCCGTGGTAAACCCTCTAACGACATATATTCCAAGTTCTTCAAAAGCACTGTAAGTGAAACTGATCCCCTTTAAAAGAAAGTGAAAGTTCATGCTCATGACAATAATACTGAAAATCATTCTATTCGTGAGTTTGTTCGAATATGTCATTAATGTGGCAAAACAGGTCATATCAGACCTAAGTGTTATAAAATACAACACGATTTGTGTACAAGGAAGGTAAGGAACCGAAATCTTGGTGTCCCAGTGAGAGTTCAAAAGAAAAGCCTAACCAAGAGCAAATGTGGGTTGTTAAAAATTCATATAACGGTCTTACTTCCATATTGTCCCTAAAAGCATCACCTGAAGGTCAATAGTATCTAGATAGTGGATGTTCTAGGCATATGACTGGTGAACTCTCATATCTTTGTGACATCAAGTATGGTTCAAGTGGTGAAGTCACCATTGGTGATGGTGGTAGGAATAATGTTTATGGAAGTAGAAACTTAGGTGGTCTACCTAATTTTCATCATGTCTTACTTGTGCATAATATGAAGGCTAACCTTCTAAGCGTTAGTCAACTCTATGATCAAAGTATGAAGGTACTTGTGTACTTACAGGTTCTCTTTCCAATGATAATTGCTATCTTGTTGATGTCAGTTCAAACTGTTTTCAAGATGTTGTGAGGGAGACTGGGATCTGGCATCAGCGTCTTAGTCATATTGGATATTCTCACTTGTTTAAGTTATCTAATGCATGTGTGATTCGTGAAGTTTCAAAAATCACTATAAAGGAACATCCTGTGTATGAATCGTGCAGATTGGGAAAACATACACGATCACCTCATAAAGCATTGAATCGCGTTGCTACAAAACAAATGCTTGAATTGCTTTATAGGGACCTAATGGGGCTTATACATGTGGCGAGTTATAATGGTAAAAAAAAATATATTTGTATGCGTTGATGACATTTCTCGCTTTATTTGGGTTGATTTCATATGTGAAAAATTCGGCACATCCATGCTTTCAAAACTCATTGTCTAAGACTTGAAAAGAAAAAGGCTTTCCAATAGTTAGCATTCGAAGTGATCATGGACGTGAGTTTTGGAACAATGATTTTTATGAATTTTGCAACTCACGTGGTATTTTTCACGAGTTTTAGGCTCCTAAGATGCCACAACAAAACGGTGTGGTTGAGAGGAAGAATCGTACCCTTCAAAAAATGACCAGGATAATGTTGAATTTAAAGGATATTTCACACCTCTGGTGGGCTGAAGCAATAAACACTGGGTGCTATCTTGCCAACAGAGTGTACTTGCGTCAAGGTATGAGTATTACCTCATATGAACAATGGAAAGGTAAAAACCCAAATCTTAGTCACTTGTATGTCTTTGGTTGTAAATGCATTATTTATAAGGATCATGAATAACTTGGAAAGTTTGATGCTAAATGTGATGTTGGGTTCTGTCTTGGATACTTTAATAACAATCGAGCATATCAAGTGTATAACTCAGGTATCTTCACTGTTATAGAACCTATGAATGTTGCCTTTCATGAAAGAACTCCAAATGTGAGTTCATCTGTTGGTATTAACTGTTGGGATCTGTGAGGATCTCATTATGTATAAGTCACAAATTCAATAGCAAACGTAAACCTATGCACAACGGATCTAAAGGTTTGACGTAGAAAACTTACAGCTTGAAGTTTTTTTGAATCTGATGGATTCGAGATGACCGGGAGAAACACATCGGAGGGATGCAGGGATTGCAGACGGAGGCAGTGGTCGTCGGCGTCTACGTCGGTGACGAGCTCGCAGTGGGTTGCGGTGGTCGCCAGGCTGGTCGAGGTGGTCAGACGGGTTGTGCGTTGCGGTGTTTGCGGTGTCGAGCTCGATTGGTCATGGCGCGTCGGCAACAGTCCGGCAGGTCAAGATGGTCAGCTCCGGGGTGGCAAATATATATGTTTTGATTACCTCGGGATCTTTTAATGTATTACTCACACACCTCTTCAATTTGTACTGGTAGAGCAACAAGAAGAAGATAAAGCTCGTACAGAAATCTAGAGAGAGAGAGACGTGCATGTGTTATATTTGCACGTAGAAGAAATATGATCTCTTCTTATCTTTTCCATGTGCTTAATGATGTATATATAGAGCTACAGTAGGGATTCTAAGAAGAACATTAATAGGGCTTCTTAAGTAATGGACTAACTGTGGGCCTGGCCCACTGTTACAATCACTTAAATAATATTATGGTCCACTAACATAATATTATTGCACTCTTTTTTCCTATCTCAAATTATATTTGAGACTCCGATAATAATTACCTGAATTACTCCCCATGTTTAAGATATAATACCCATTAATTTATTCGATTACTGATAATCAATAATTAATTAATATATTATATTACCAATGCCAGCGCTCGCTCATTGCATTATTATTATGCTCGAATTTAATCCACCTACAGGGTTTAGCATAACAAAACCTTCATGAACTCACTTCGGGGACATCATCAAACTAACACACATGGTGACCGTAAATATCATAGCAACACATCATACATACAACAATATTACCCAAGACAGTAAGACTATTGATCCAACAAACTGAATCTCACCCAAGTAAATCAAAGTAATAAGTATTGCATGTATATGCTTGTTTAAAATCTTACGGGTTAAGAGAACACAATAATTAACCGAGGCCTAGTTCGTTTACGACGATCAGTATAAAATGAACTTCTCCTCTCTGGGATCCGTTCAATACATAAATGTACTAGTGCAATTAATCAGTCAAGACCAACTGTACTGTTGGCACTACAACCGTTTTGATGGGGTGTTCATTTTCATCTAAGTTGTGAACCATTAATTTTTGTATCGCAAGTAACTGATAGAATGATCTTCTATTCACCCGATGATGACTCATTCTATCTAAGTGAAAAACAACAGAACATAGAACTTGTTTAATCGAACATGATTCTCATTCATAAAGGGCAAAAGTGTAATATCATCTAAAGCCAAGTTTTTAGTATATAACACCAACAAATTGAACCCTCTATTTGCGGAAAATTGATGCAAATGGTTCATAGAGCCCGCTATCTTTGCCAAGCCAAAGATTAAGCCCCTTGAACACGGGTCCGCAGATCTGTTTGAGTTTGAAAAGAAAATACTTGGTACACAAATCCCTCAAGCTCGTTCGTGGTTTCAGTATTCCAATTCGCATTCGTGGGTCTTTTCAACTTTGTGGGGCTCCTCTTGTCGTCCGACCACTAGGCACACAACTGACGAAAATGTTTTT